CCCAGCAATTGGGGTCCCAGACCCCTGTGCTTTTCTCCCCAATGCCCACTATGCAGCTGGGGGTGATGGCAAAGCAGTCACACCACATACAACACAGAGAAGCATTTTCCAGAGCACTGGGGAATTTATACTACACTCACCACTGGGACATTTGAGCACCTGGTAGGATTTGCTTGCATCAATCCCTCCCTTCTATGGTATAAGGCTCCTGATACCTACTCTCAGTGCCATAGAGTGCCACGCTTCACAGGCCCCCCTAGGCATGTTAACACACCATTCACTCTAGCTAGTTGCTGCCTAGGGCAGCTCAGTGTAATGGCCACTATATGCAGAGGGATTCTAGGAAGCGCTGGGAAGGATACCCATTGATTTGGGTGGATCCTCCATGTTTCATGTTGCTAGGCTTCTGCCCCTCCCTCTCCCTACAAGAGTTTCTCTCCTGTAAGACCCTAGAGGGGCCAAGAGCAACTGGCAGGCACTTTCCTTGGAAGTCCTTGTCCACACAGGAGAGGATGCTGGGTGGGCGGGTCCCAAGCATGCAATGCCCGTCTCCACAGCTTGACTTGCATGTCCCAGGAGCGGCGGCTATATTTCTTGTACTTATTTGGAGTTCGGGGGTGAATCCCTGACTGCCGAGCGGCCCTGGGAATGAAGCAGGACATTTATCAGTGACCACGTGCTTCCATTAAACATTCCTCACCCCAGCATCAAGACCACCCTAACCCAGCAGGAGCATGGCACTAATAGGACCCCAGTAGGATGTAGGAAGCGCACTCCAAAGGCTCCTGAATATGTCAAGTTTCTGGGACTTTTGGAAGGGGGAAGGGAAAGGAAGTTGCCTTCAGGCAGGATCAAAGGGAAGGAAGTCACTTTACATCAGTTTCAGGTATCTCTTCCCTTGGTGGGGAGCCTGAGGTCACAGTCGGAATCAGCAGGCTTATATGGGAAGTGGAGGTGAAAGCCAGGGACCACCTCACTTGGGGACCTGTTGTAGGAAGTGCTGGTAGCCAATAGTATTCTTCCCATAGTCTATCTGCTTCTGTCTCCTCTGCAGGATGGTCTCATCGGTCTCAGTGTCAGATCTGGTGAAGAGAAAAGTTAGTACTAGAGACACAAACGTCAGCCCTGGACAAGCCACATGGTCAGCATGCATCCAACACACCTCAATCCTGAGCTGGCACCTCTTGCTGGGCCTGGCCTTGTGCCAATTCCCACGCTGACCATATTAACTCCAGGGGAGAATGGCTTTGATGACAAGGGCCTGTCCCAAGGAAAAGAAAGTTTGTTGCACGATAAACTTGCTTGTGTCACATCCAGGTGTGACCACTGCATCCGACAGACTAGCCAGCCATCGGTTTGGTCCTGGGAAGCAGAACTAAACTGGGCAATGCAGCTTATCAGAAAGGTACAGAGGATCCAGCTCAGCTTCTGGGACAGTTTATTCCTTTGAAACTCAGAACTGAAGCCCTGAGACCGGTCAGACCTCTCCGGAGAGGGCAACAGGATTACTCCAGGCCAGCTCTGGGGTCTGTTGATGGAAGCCCTGGATACATGATCAAGGCAGCCAGTCATATTCTCAGATTATGTGTATTGCAGTGATACAGTCCCCCACTCAGAATCAGAGCCCCGTTGTGCTGCATGTTATACAGACACAGAGAGACAGTCCTTGCCCCAGAGTTTACAAAGGAGGGGGAAGGAAAACAGTCAAGTAGATACAATTATAAATCTACAAAACTCAAAAATGCAGATGTATCTCTCTTTAAGAGTCAAATAGCCAACTGCCAATTAAGCTAAATCTTCATTAACTGGCAGATTTCTATAATGTAGCAAGTATCAGTGGCTGATTTATACACTCTTCCTATCAGACCAAGGACATAAGAACAAGTCAAGGGGTCTCATCCCAAATACCTATTGCCATCAGCAGGGATCCCTTCAGCCTCGTCTACAAAACAGAAAATGGTGACTCAGGAAAATGCTTGAATGTAACACCTTCTTCCCATCTTATTTTCTGTTTATCTTTTAGACTAAGCTTCTTAGTGTGCGGGACTGTATGTTTTATACAGGGTCAAGAAGTGTCCGTGCTTAGACAATAGGATGAGATCTCAACCGTCAGAGTAAAAATATATGACAACTAAGCAATGTGACAAAACTAAATCTACAGCCCCACATCTTACCATAGCTTTACATACTCCCTCAGGACTTTTTAGTGTCTACAGGGCTACTGGGAGATTAATCCCAAGAGTTCCACTCTGCAACAGCAACATCTCTACTGGGATATGTAGTGCCACTTTCCTGAAAGCGGCAATGGGAATTCTGGGCAAGGAAGGAGACTGGGAGAAGGGCGGTATCTGAATCAGTGAACCAGGTCATACTGGTGGGGGAGTGACACTATATGTGAAAGAAAGCATATTCAAATGAAGTAAAAATCTTAAATGAACCAAACTATACCATAGAATCTCTAAGGATAGTAATTCCATGCTCTATTAATAAGAATATAGCAGTAGGGATATATTACCGACCACCTGACCAAGATGGTGATAGTGACTATGAAATGCTCAGGGAGATTAGAGAGGCTATTAAAATAAAAATCTCAATAATAATGGGAGATTTCAACTATCCCCACATTGACTGGGTACATGTCACCTCAGGACGGGATGCAGAGATAAAGTTTCTAGACACCTTAAACGACTGCGTCTTGGACAGCTAGTCCTGGAAACTACAAGAGAAGAGGCAATTCTTGATTTAGCCCTAAGTGGAGCACAGGATCTAGTCCAAGAGGTGAATATAGCTGGACTGCTTGGTAATAGTGACCATAATATAATTAAATTTAACATCCCTGTGGCGGGAAAACACCACATCAGCATTTAATTTCAGAAAGGGGAACTACACAAAAATGAGGAGGTTAGTTAAACAGAAATTAAAAGGTACAGCGCAAAACGTGAAATCCTGCAAGCTGCATGGAAACTTTTTAAAGACCCCATAATAGAGGCTCAACTTAAATGTGTATCCCAAATTTAAAAAACATAGTAAGAGAACCAAAAAATCTGCCACCGTGGCTAAACAAAATAAAAGAAGCAGTGAAAGGCAAAAAGGCATCCCTTAAAAAGTGGAAGTTAAATCCTAGTGAGGAAAATAGAAAGGAGCATAAACTCTGGCAAATGAGGTGTAAAAATATAATTAGGAAGGCCCAAAAAGAATTTGAAGGAACAGCTAGCCAAAGACTCAAAAAGTAATAGCAAAAAATGTTTTAAGTACATGAGAAGCAGGAAGCCTGCTAAACAATCAGTGGGCCAACTGGACGATCGAGATGCTAAAGGAGCACTCAAGGACAATAAGGCCATTGCGGAGAAACTAAATGAATTACAAGCGAGTCTCATCTTACGCACATTTAACATGCGCGAATTCAGCTTTGCACGGTCGGCAAAAACTAAAACAAACAAAAAGAAAAATAATTTAAATACTGTACCTGTAGTGCGGGCGATTCCGCCCACCATTAGACTCAATGTAATTTTGACTATACGTGATTTTCACTTTACATGCTGACAACGTAACGTAACCCCAGCATAAGATGAGACTTGCCTGTATTTGTATCGGTCTTCATGGCTGAGGATGAGAGGGAGATTCCCAAACCTGAGCCATTCTTTTTAGGTGACAAATCTGAGGAACTGTCCCAGATTGAGGTGTCATTAGAAGAGGTTTTTTGGAACAAATTGATAAACTAAATGGTAATAAGTCACCAGGACCAGATGGTATTCACCCGAGTTCTGAAGTAACTCAAATGTGAAATTGCAGAACTACTAACTGTAGTCTGTAACCTATCATTTAAATCAGCTTATCTACCAAATGACTTGAGAATAGCTAATGTGACGCCAATTTTTAAAAAAGGCTCCAGAGGTGATCCTGGCAATTAGAGGCCGGTAAGCTTGACTTCTGTACCAGACAAACTGACTGAAATGATAGTAAAGAACAGAATTGTCAGACACAGATGAACATAATTTGTTGGAGAAGAGTCAACATGGTTTTTGTAAAGGGAAATCATGCCTCAGCAATCTACTAGAATTCTTTGAGGGGGTCAACAAACATGTGGACATGGGTGATCCAGTGAATATAGTGTACTTAGATTTTCAGAAAGCCTTTGACAAGGTCCCCAAGGCTCTTAAGCAAAGTAAACTCGTCATGGGATAAGAGAGAGGGTCCTCTCATGGATCAGTAACTGGTTAAAAGATAGAACAATGAGGAGTCCTTGTGGCACCTTAGAGAATAACAAATTTATTTGGGCATAAGCTTTCATGGACTAAAACCCACCAGTTGACAAGAAGGGGTGAATATCAACAGAGGGGAAAAAATAATGTTCTCACACCTTCTTGTCAACTGCTGGGAATGGGCCACATCCACCCTAACTGAATTGGCTTCGTTAGCACTGACCGCCCACTTGGTAAGGCAACTCCCATCTTTTCATGTGCTGTAATATATATACCTGCTTACTGTATTTTCCACTCCATGCATCTGATGAAGTGGGTTCTAGCCCATGAAAGCTTATGCCCAAATAAATGTGTTAGTCTCCAAGGTGCCACAAGGACTCCTCGTTGTTTTTACTGATACAGACTAACACGGCTACCCCTCTGAAACCTGGTTAAAAGATAGGAAACAAAGGGTAGGAATAAATGGTCAGTTTTTAGAATGGAGCGGGGTAAATAGTGGTGAAGAGTTACAAAGGGAACTCACAAAACTGGGTGACAGGGCAACAAAATGGCAGATGAAATTCAATGTTGATAAATGCAAAGTAATGCACATTGGAAACCATAATCCCAACTATACGTATAAAATGCTGGGGTCTGAATTGGCTGTTACCACTCAAGAAAGATCTTGGAGTCATAGTGGTTAGTTCTCTGAAAACATCCACTCAATGTTCAGCGGCAGTCAAAAAAGCAAACAGAATGTTGGGAATCATTAAGAAAAGGATAGATGGTAAGACAGAAAATATCATATTGCCTCTATATATATCCATGGTATGCCCACATCTTGAATACTGCGTGCAGATGTGATCACCCCATCTCAAAAAAGATATGTTGGAATTGGGAAAAGTACAGAGAAGGGCAACAAAAACGATGAGGGGGATGGAACAACTTCTGTATGACATGAGATTAATAAGACGGGGACTATTCATCTTGGAAAAGAAATGACTAAGGGGGGGATATGATAGAGGTCTATAAAATCATAACTAGTGTGGAGAAAGTAAAGAAGGAAGCGTTATTTACTCCTTCTCATAACACAAGAACTAGGGGTCACCAAATGAAATTAATAGGTAGCAGATTTTAAAACAACCAAAAGGAAGTATTTTTTCACACATCGCACAGTCAACCTGTGGAACTTCTTGCCAGAGGATATTATGAAGCCCAAGACTACAACAGAGTTCAAAAAAGAACTAGGCAAGTTCATGGAGGACAGGTCCATCAACGGCTATTAGCCAGGATGGGCAGGGATGATGTCCCTAGTCTCTGTTTGCCAGAAGCTGGGAATGGGCAATGGGATGGATCACTTGATGATTACCTGTTCTGTTCATTCCCTCTGGGGCACCTGGCATTGGTCACAGTCAGAAGACAGGATACTGGGCTAGATGGACCTTTGGTCTGACCCAGTCTGGCCGCTCTTATACCCCTAGTCATCCTCCATCCAACTCACTCTTGATGTTTTCCAGCACAAATTGCTCATTCTTCCTCCCAAGCTCTCACTACATTAAACATCATGTTCTCCCTTGCAGCCATAGAAATAATTCTAAATAGACACATTTGTCACCACCAGCTCTCTTTTTTCTTTGAAATTCTTGCCCCATTAATTATATGCATTTTTTCTCTAAGGCCATAGGCAAATGTCTGCTAACTATGTAATCTAGACAGAAAGCTTCTGCATACCATGTGTGTTTCCACCCACCTGTCTTTCTCACATACAGACGCTTTTCCAGAGGCAGGCTCTTCACATCCAAGAACAAGAGGGTCATGAAACAGAGAACTGTATGCCAGTTATGGAAGAAAATCAATTCTCCACCCTAGACAGAGCTCACAACCCTTCCCTACAATGCAGCGAGCTCAGGGACCCATCCTACCCCTCAGCCCATAGAAAACACTGACTTCTGAAAAGTCAGTGCCCGCACGGGGAATAGAATTCTCTTAAATAAGTTGAGTCAGCTAAAAACTGAGCTTCAAAGAATGATTCTAAACCAAGGGGAAGCAGTCACCACCTTTGAAGGCGGCCAAAGGGCTCTGGGTGACAAAGCCTCCAAATTAAGTTATCTGAGCCTAAAGAGGATTGTCAGCCCAGTGAGACACGGGCTAAGGAGCATTATGAACATGAAGTAATGCAAACACGGTGTCAAGCACGCCCTGTTCCTGCACCTCTGGACCCTGAATGAAGTCCGAGTGCCACCACAGGCAGCAGGGCCAGTTCTAGCACCCAGGGTCATTGTGTGTGTGTCTTGCAGTAGCGCCTAGGAGCCCCAACCGGAGTAGCACTGGCCCAGCCACGGCGGGCGCCTGCCAGCAGAGCATCCAGCCACGCTCGGGGACCGCGCAGGGAAAGGCCACGTCAGGCCGCAGCAGCGCAGCGGGAGCCGGAGGAGGGTCACAGCGTGTCGGGCGCTGGAGAAGCCCCCGCAGGAATCCCCGTTAGTTACCGGGACAGACACCGGCACCGGGACGGTCCCACCCGCCCCCGCTGCACCCAGCGCCGGGGAGCCGCCCCGGTCCCTGCTCCGCGAAGGGCTGCCGGAGGCGCGGCTCGGGGGGGCGGGGAATGGGGGATCCCCCCCCGGCCCGCGTGGGAACAGGGCGCCACGGGCAGCGCAGCGAGTTACGGGAGCGGGGCGCGGCTCGGACACGGCCCGGGGGCTCGGCCCAGGTCTGCCCCGCCCGGGCGTTACAGCCCCGGGACAGCTGCGGGGTCCGGGCCGCGCGCCCGTACCTGCGGGCCAGCGGCTCCCAGCCACACAGCGCGCGAGGCGCGGGCAGCATGGCCACTGGCGGGCGGGCGCGGCGCGTGGCGGCACGCCCCGGCCCCCGGGGGGGGTCGGCCGGGGGAG